GAATGGGTTCTGCTGGATGTCGCTCAGAGAGATCTGTACACCGATGTCATGCTGGAAAATTATGGGAATTTAGCCTTCCTGGGTAAGTTACTGTCTCTCTTTTCTGTCAAAGAGAGCTTGTCTTGTTCATGAAAGACAAGCAGTTTAGTTGTTGTTGTTTTTTTAAAAAAATATGAGTAGGGTTGTTTTTAATATGAAAGGATTGTTTTGCTCTGATGTTCTTAAATGATGTTTTTATTGACTTTTATTAATAGAATACTTGTTTACTCCTTTTTAAATATTTATCTATTCCATGTTTTTAGCTTTTAAATATTGTCTTTTAACCACTACAAGCTGCCTTGGATCCTTTTAAGGAGAAAGGCAGGGAAAACGTATTTTAAATAAATAAAAATAAAAACACCTTCTCTCTCTCTCCCTCTCTCTCTTTCTTTCCCCCTCAATCCATTCTGGGAGCCCTGAGCAATTTCTGACTCTTACTGACGGATCTGGGTTGGTTGGCTGGTTGGTTTAACTGGCTCCCCAAAACTATGTTTAATGGCAAGTGATGTTTTTAACCGTACATAGACGTTACATTGACTTGCAGTGGTTATATTCACCTGATAGCCAAACGCTGTGGACGGGTGAGGTAGAAAGGCAGAAATAAATCAATGCGTAAGTACCTAAATAGGCATGCCAAAAATTGGCTGGTTTTAGGGCAGCCATCAGTCAATAGTGGCAAACCCTCCGGCTTTTACAGGCTCCGTTGATGGATTATTTATTTATTTACAAGATCTATTAGCCGTGCCATTACCAGTGGTCTCTGAGTGGCGTACAACAATATTAAAACTTTTAAAACATTAAAGCCATTAAAAGTAGGTACTATTATAATATTACCCTATATTAGGAACAGTCATTAAAACATCGATATTAATAAATCCTGCTGCTCGTATGGCCAGCGAAAGAATACTATTTAATTAAAATACTAGCTAAACAGAAAGGTCTCTTTGCCTGGTGCCGAAAAGCCAAAAGTGTTGGAGCCAGGCAGATCTCTATAGGGAGAGCGTTCCAAAGTTGGGGGGGGTGCAACAGCCATGAAGGCCCTATTTCGATTAGCAACCCCGTAATGAAAGGAAATCAGAGAGAGAGAGAGAGAGAGAGAGAGAATTCTGTCTCTCTCTTTATTGCAGTAGCTAAGGAGAGAGAAGTATTAAAATACTTCTGTAGGGGAAATGTCTTGCTGTATGAACCTCCTCTGGTTTTAATATCTGTGAGGAAGCCGTTGTCTCGGTTTCACCACCCTCGCAAGGCAGGTTTGGTTAGCTCATGGGAGGGAGGGTGTTTTGGGAGGCTGATTCCAGTCTGTGGAACTCCCTTCCACATGAGGTTACGTCAGCCCTCCCCCTGGTATATTTTCTACTAGGAGGCCAAGACTTGTCACTTCGCTCAGGATTTGGTAACTGACAGGAAAGCTGAGAATGCAACTTTCTGCAGGGGGGGGGAGGTGCTACATGTTTTATCCAGTTTCTAACTTTACCAGTCTTTTAATATTATTGTTCAGAGTTTTTTTAGATACAGCAAAGTGATATGACTTCCTTCCTTCTCTTTCTCTCCTTCCTTCCTTCCTTCCTTCCTTCCTTCCTTCCTTCCTTCCTTCCTTCCTTCCTTCCTTCCTTCTCTTTCCATCCTCCCTCCGTCCCTCTTTCTTTCCTTCTCTCCTTCCTTCCTTCCTACCTACTACATACCTGCCTGCCTGCCTACCTACCTACCTACCTCTTTTTCTTTATTTCTTTTTCTCTCTTTCTCTCTCCCTCCCTCCCCATTTTCACACTCTTCCATCTGTGTGTGTGTGTGTCTCTGTGTGTGTCTATCTGTCTATTTATCTCACTTGCTATATCAATGAAAAATATTAGTTCGCTGGCTGGCTGTTTATTTATTTATGAAATCAAGAAATCTGGTGTTTAATATAAATGTGTTAGTCACCCCCTCATCCTCAGATGACGCAGGTGATTCAGAGCTTAGAGTCACCAAAGCTGTGTCCCCTGGATGGCCGTTTGTTGGTTCGAAGACCTCTCCATGGCGGCCTCACAGGAGAGACGTCTTGTTGCCTCATTTTTTTTAGCTTGCCCATGATTCTTGATGCTCTGCAGTGCTTCAAAATCCTTGGATGTAAGCCCGTGAGAAATATTTGTGAACACCTAACAAAACGGGTGAAGTCACATAAGCTTCTCCGTCGAAAAGCATGTGGCTTTAAAGACGCCAAAGCCCCCGCTTTACCTTTGATTCGTTCCGCAGCTGAAGGGAGGACGTGTCTTTGAAAACCACAAGCTTTTATGACATGAAGGATAAAGAAGGTCTTCCCACCCATCCCCTTTGCTTCATTTTTGCAGGCTGTGCTCTGGCATTGGAGGCCAGTTCTGAGTCGCCTCTTCCTTCAGAGGGAGCGGGAAGATCGCCTGCCCGAGCCGCACAGGTAGGGGGGAAAAGATCGCCAGGAAGGTGAGGAAATGGCCTCCTCCTCTTTCCCTTTTCTGCCTCAAGGAGCTCCGGCTTCTTTTCTCTCTCTGTCCCACCAAGTCACCTTCCACCGAGGTGGCCGGTGCAGCCGTTCCACCCAGTCTGGCTAGAGATGGACGGGCGTAGAATGGTGAGAGCGGGTTCGTGCGGTGTGTCCCTGTGGATGATGCATGAGGGGGTGACCCCACCTAGTGCTCCGGGGCCGAGACTCGGCACTGGAAAATGAGAGAATTGCATGGAGAATGGGAGAGCTTGGGTGCGAGGCAGAAGGTGGATTGGGCGGCCCTTCCACCTTCGTATCCCCTAAGAAGAAAGAGGTGGCTGTTTTTTTAGGGTGAAGGTGCCGTAGAGATGACTCGGGCGACCTTGAAGGTGTGTCACTCACTAGTGTGATAGTGGTGAGAAGGAGCAATCCCCCCCCAAGGGACGTCGCAGCCTAGTAGACAAACGTTGACACCAAGCAGTAGATTCTTGGTGGCTGCTGTTCCCGTAAGTAATCTCAAGGACCGTATCCATCAGGAGAGGCCTTTCTCTTGGCCCCACCACCCTCACCAGTGTGTTTGGTTGGGGCACAGAAGAGGACCTTCTCGGTGGTGGCTCCCAAAGACTCTGGAACTCCCTCCCACTAGAGGCCAGCCTGGCCCCATCTTTGCTGTCCTTCCTCAAGCAGGCGAAGACGGTTCTCTTCAGGCAGGCTTTCCCTGAGTGATTGAATTGTCTGTGAGAGTTTTTTTTTTTAATGGATTATTGTACCTTGTTGGCTTTAATGTGTTTTTAGTCTTGGTTTTATTTATCATTTTTAATAGACCATTTATACATTTGGTGTTTTTGCTTTTTTTTAATGCTGCCTTTTTAGTAATATAAGCTGCCTCGGGTCCTTTTTAAGGAGAAAGGCAGGCTAAACCTATTTTAAAGATACAAATATTGTCAGATAGACAGTCAAGAATACCCTCTTGTTTCACTCTGTTTATGCTTTCAAAACTGAGTAGAATAGGGACCCAGAAAGGGGAGTGCTGTAGCCCCCGTTCTTTCCATCGTCATTTCCAGAAACCTGTCACATGTTAGAGAGGGACAAGTCTGAAGTGGGACAGCCTGTACGGTCTACAGGTCACAAGCTAAAGATGAGCCAACAGGGTGATGTGTCTGCAAAAAGGCCCAATGCTATTTTAGGCTGCATTAATAGAGGTATAGTTTCCAAATCCCGCGAGGTGCTAGTCCCCCTCTATTCAGCAGTCATTAGGCCTTACCTTGAGGATTGTGTCCAGTTCTGGACACCCCACTTCAGGAAGGATGATGACAAGGTTCAGAGGAGGGTGACAAGGATGATCAGGGAGCTGGAAACCAAGTCTTGTGAGGAAAGGCTGAAAGAACTGGGCATGTTGAGCCTTGAGAAAAGAAGAAAGAGGGGAGACAACAGAGCACTTTTCAAATATTTGGAAGGCTGTCCTTCAGAGGAGGGGCAGGATCTGTTCTCGATCCTCCCAGAGTGCAGGACATGCAACAATGGTCTCAAGTTAAAGGAAGCCAGATTTCGGTTGAATATCAGGAAAAACTTCCTGATTGTTAGAGCAGTACGACAAAGGAATCCACGACCTCAGGAGGCAGTGAGCGCTCCAACCCTGGAGGCACTCACCTGGCAGATCTGCTTTGATTTGTATTCCTGCCTTGAGCTGGGGGGGTTGGACCAGATGGCCTTAAGAGGTCCCTTCCAACTTCACTTTTCTAGGATTCTAAAGTGGCTCTCCACTGTGAGTCAGGAGCCAGACCCTGAAAAATCAGGGTCTCAATGCACATGAGAGTTCTCCCTTGAATGTTGCCCTAGACAGCTGAGCTGTTCTCTCTGTAGAATCACTCTATCCCATACATAAGAGGCTGACAGATCTACTCCTCTTTACACTTGAGTATTTGACCTCCTTTTGAACGATTGGATAGGGATAGCAACAGTCAATGGCATCATGGGGTTAGCGGCTGGCCAAAATCAAAGCAAAAAAGCCAAGCGTGCTCCTTGTCTACCCTCCCGTAGTGCTTCAAGCACTCTTTGGGTGGTTTATGAGTTACACGGTGTCCCCCACCCCCACCCCCAGCGAGCTCATTTTATTGACCTCAGAAAGATGGAAGGCTGAGTCAACCTTGAACCGGCTACCTGGGATTCAACCCCAGGTCATGAACCCAGTTTTGGCTGCATCCTTGCAGCCAAAACCCTTGAAGCCCTGCGCCTGTTGTTTTATATTCCACAAGGAGAAGGAATTGTGTGAGTACTGGGATGAAGCCATCCTGTCCTTGCCACCTGCACCTGGCAGCTCAGAAAACGACCCTCAGATTGGCAGCAAACTCAAATAGCATGAGTGAACTATTCTTGAAATTTTGGACACACACACATATACAGATGATCAGTTCTTGTTATGTACCAACAAGTTGGAACTGACTTGTGACAACCCTAATAAGGCTTTCAAGATAAGTGAGATACAGTATTTAAGTAGTGGCTTTACCAGTTCTTCTACTGCAATCAGTTCCAATGGCTGAGCAGAGGTTCGAACCCTAGTCTTCAGAGTCTGCCTGTCACTTTATCCCCTACACACCACATTGGGTTGTGATCAGCTAGCAAAAGCTACATGTAGGGTATGACCTGCAGCTTGTCATGTTATAATCCTGTCGCTGCAAGAGTATCAAGTGAGCACCGCCCCCTAGAGTCGGACACGACTGGACTAAACGTCAAGGGGAACCTTTACCTTTACCTAGGAGGTGGCCTTTACCTAGTAAAGGTAAAGGACTGCTTTAAAAAATGAAGTAAAGAACAGCCTTACAGAAAACATCATATTACCGGATCTTGGGTTTTTCAATCAATGGATAAAAGTGTGTTTCTGTACACAGAAGAGGCACCCCCCCTAAAGTTTTGGGGTGAGCTGCCCCCCCACCCCGTTCGCATTTGTTTGTGTTTTGGTTCCTTGTGTGTAAATTATCTTTCTCGAAAGAAAGCCTGTTCTTCTGCTGTGTCCAGGGTCTGTGGTCTTTTGAGGAGGTGGCCTTGCATTTCACCAAGGACGAATGGTCACTGATGGATCCCGGCCAGAGAGCTTCGTACGTAGAGGTCACGGTGGAGAATTTTGGAAACGTGGCCTCTTTGGGTAAGGACTGGTTCCCTTCCTTCATCCTGAGGATAGTTAAGATTGTGAGATGGTTAAGGAGTGGTTTTTACCCGCTTGACAACTCCAATGAGCTTCCCCGGCCAAGTGGGAATTTGGACCCATCATATGTTTCATATAACCATAGAGTCATGGCATTCAAAGGGGCCTCTCGGGCCATTGAGTCCAACCCCCTGCTCAAGGCAGGAATCCCGATCAATGCAGATCTGCCAGATGGTGGTCTAAGTTTCTCTTGAATTCTTAGAGCATTGTTCAACCTTCGCTTGATTCTTTTGTTTAATAGTGTGACAGTCTGTTGTTTTAGCTTCGAATATTGTCTCGTTTAATACTGTAAGTCACCTTCGATCCCTTTTCATAGAACGTTGGTATATAAATATTTTGAATATAAAAACAAGACGTATGTGAGTGTTCCTGCAGACCATACACGGGAGACCCTCCAAAGAGCCTTTTCTCCAGCATGACTGACTTGGGGTCTAAGGAAATTTTAAGAAGGCCAAGGATACACCTTCTTTTTCATTCTCTGCCCAACTGTTGATTCTCTCTTCCCCATCTCTCTCTCTCTCTCTCTCTCTCTCCCTCCCCGTCCGTCCGTCCGTCCGTCCATCCGTCCATCCATCCATCCATCCATCCATGTTAATCATAGAGTTGGAAGAGAACATTGAGGCCATCCAGTCCAACCCCCTGCCATGCAGGAACATTCATCAAAGTACTCCCAACAGATAGCCATCCAACCTCTCCTTTAAAACCTCCAAAGAAGGAGACTCCACCACCTTTTGAGGCAGCCTCTTCCACTGCCAGACAGCTCTGACCATCAGGAAGTTCTTCCTAATTGTGACGTGTGCCATGACCTGCCTGTCTTGGCTAAGGCTGGGGTTTCCTGGCCTATGGCAGGACAGGAGGGGGGTCTTAAAGGGGTGGAGTTTATGTATATAAGGGTGAAGTGCAAAGAGAAGGGGGGAGAGGGTTGAGATAGGGTTGGAGAGAGAGTTGAGTGAGGGCTTGAAAGAAGATCTGTAGACAGGGTTAGATATAGGTTAGGTAACTGAGTGTTAAGTAACAAAGAACTGTGCAGGGTTAAGGTCTGAGAAATATAGTGTGACAAGTGATTCTTTCATTCAGTGATTTACATTTTTTTTGTATTCAATAAATATCATCATTTTTATTTTGAAATCCATAATAAGTCTGATGTGTCAGGTTTATGTGTGGTTGGTGGCAGCGAAGTTGTGTATGTGTGAGTGAAGGATCGTGACCTGTCATCTCTTGTGGTGACGTAGGAGGAGGTGGCAGTCGCGACACTAATGTTCAGATGGAATCTCTTTTCCTTGATAGATGTATCTATCTATCTATCTATCTATCTATCTATCTATCTATCTATCTATCTATCTATCTATCTATCTATCTATCTATCTATCTATCTATCTATCTATCTATCTATCTATCTATCTATCTAGTCTGTCTATCTAGTCTGTCTATCTATCTATCTAGTCTGTCTATCCTGTCTGTCTGTCTATCTTGTCTGTCTGTCTATCTATCTATCTAAATTTATTTTGCATTGCTATCAGTCTGTCTGTCCGTCCGTCCGTCTGTCCATCCATCCATCTGTCATTCACTAGATTTATATCCTGCTGATCTAGCGCTGAGGCACTTTCTTCCTATCTATCTCTTCTTGGAGGAAAGTGGCCACCACCCCATGTAGTGAACCTAAGTGAGGGGGTGGAAATCTTCCAGGGTAAGGCCCCGAACCACAGCTTGAAGGCACAGGGAGGATGAAAGGCTTCTTCACCCCTTCCCTGCCTTCAGTGCATGCTAGCTCGCTACCCTGGCTTTACACCGGCGGGTACCTTCCCCACACCCTGGCACCGTTCTCTATAAATTGGGAAGCTGACCGGTTGTTGTCTTCTCAGCTGGGTCTCTTCCCCTCCCGTGTGCTGAGATGTGGTGAAAGAAGCCACCGGCTCAGATAAGGAGCCTCTTGAGAATATAATTCTGACTATAAATCCTCTACTGGGGCAATTCTGTGACTTGTAGTGTGAAAAAGTAACTTTTTTTGCCATTCTGAGGGAAACATCGCCGTTGGGGGTCATCTTTGCCACTTCGTTCCCAACTTGTATTTCAGAATGAGCCAAATGAGCTTGGATGGCTCACGTTGTGGTGGTGGGGGAAACCCCCTAGTTGCCTTTTGGGGGAGAGCTTCTGAAATAGGTTGCTGTGGGACCCTCCGTATTTTGTGGCTGGCGTGATGACTTGTGTTTTGTGTCTGCTTGCCTCCCTGCTCCGACCTCTGGAAGTGCCCAGACCTAACCTCGTCACATGTCTGGAAGAAGGGGAAGATCCGTTTGTCCCGGATCCTAAGAAAGAGAGAAGAGTGGCCAATAACTTCCCAGGTAACTGCTTAAAGGATGAACACTTGCTTGTGGGAAGAGGGTGGATTCTGGACATTTTTGGGAGATGGGAATCCTGTTGCAGTTGAGCTAGGCAGAATTCTCTTGCACCGTGAGACCGGTCATGGTCCATGCTACAGCCCAACATGTCTCTGATTATTTTATGTGAGGTCCTCTATAATAGGAAGCGAAGACTAAATCCACCCAGTCCCCAAAGTTTGTAATGCCAGATCCGTGTCACAGAAGCCCTGGGTTACGGGCTCACACATTCCTTTTTGGTTAGGACTTCAAATCCCAGGATCCTTTTTGTCGGGAATTTCGCCTGCCAGACCCACCCCTACAGACACCTAAATTGTGCTCACCTGGAGGAAGGTTGGAGTGGGGAGCTGCAAGGCCTAGAACGGAAGGTCCTTCTAGGCCTAGTTTCCTGTTAGAACTGGAAGCTGTCCCAGTGCCTGCTGGGAGTTCTACGACAAAGCTAGGCTAGAGTGGTCAGTAGGGGCAGGTGTGGCAGGTGGAACACCTCCCAGAATAGAGGATTCTGGCATTTGGAGTCCAAACCAAAATGGAATCCAGGTGCCTACTTGGTTACGACGGCATGGATGCCGTTTTCATTCCCCATCTTAATTCCATCTCCCCCACAAGAAGTCCTACAAACTCACACAGTGTTCTAAGGCTTTCTTTTGAGCTATGATTTTGGAGCCCACCGATTCACTCAAATGCATATTCCTTTGGTTGTAACTGCTGTCCTTTTCCTCATTTCATCCTTCGAGGAGAAGTTAAAAGAGGGCTGTTATTCTTTGGGTTATTAAAAATCTTTACGGGGGTGATAGAACCTAAACGCGGGCTACCCAAAACTAATTGTTGCACCTTTCTATCATATACTGTTGTCAAAACTCCCTTTAAATTGTTTCCTGATTATTTATTGTCTTGTCACTTGAGTAACGTAACCGCAGGAAGAATACTTATTTTTATTTCTTCTCTTCCCCTTTCATGGACACTGACATGTGTATATTTATCTTTTACCCTGTTAACATTCTCTGCACGGTCCACCCTCAGGTATCAGACTCAGCACCGCTCAGCTTGAATAAAGCAAATAACGTTTTATTCAAAGATTTGGTGTTAAAAGGAATTCACTAATTCCTGGATTGCAAATTCATTCAGCACCGAGAAGAAACCAAAGCGAAGCTTCCGGTTTGCATTGCCAATTTCGTGAAGTATCTTAAGAAGACAGCCATTTCAGGATATTGCCAAATTAAACACTTCCTTGGCTCTGTGGAGGGAAAGTGGGGGGGATTTTATTTTAAAGTATATCAGGGCAGCGCATATGCACTGCATCACTGAACAAAAGCCAAAGTGTGAGCACACAGAAAGGCATGAGGAGTGTGGGGTGTTTCTCTCTTAGAAGTTCCAGTCAAGAACTTGCTTGATTCAATTGTGGACCAGCTGCTGTGGACCAACATGGGGTCACTTAAGGTCCATACGCCATTTGGATGTGAGGATCACATCAAATGACACATCGGACCTTCTAGTGATCCTATTTCCCTAATGAGAAACCTAGACAGCATCTTAAAAAGCAGAGACATCACCTTGCCGACAAAAGTCAAAACTATGGTTTTTCCAGTAGTGATGTATCACACTAAGGACTCCATTTTGATTCTCCTCACAATGGTTTCAGAATCCTGTCTCCAACTTCATCTTTTGGTGGAAGGAAGATCTGTTGAGCTTTGACAAACTCTCTGTGGAGGGTGGGGGATCGTCAGGAAGGGGTTTTAGTGTGCCTAGAACCTTTGTCGTGGAGATAGAGATCTGAGACGTTGTGTCTAAAATGAGGGGGAAATATTGATGGAATGCCGTGCCTTCAGTCCCGTAGCATCGTACACCACCCAGTAAAACCAGAGTGAATCCAAGTAAACCGTTCCCTTCAGAAAGGCTAATCCATGGCAGAGGTGGGAGCAAAGAAGTCCTTCTTCTGTGCCGTGGTTGGATCTGCACAGAGTCGTCTGGTGGACCGCTATCAAGTGGTCAAGGCCCCGTGACATGCCAGCCTACAGGAAGAGAGCACAGACCACACTGGAGCTCCCTGTGAAGAATTCGCACAACGCTTTGCAGGCAAAACTGCAAGCCCCCCCCCCCCCGAGTGTCTCTGTCTGAGATTAGGGTTTTTAAATACAGTATATGGCTGTGTCTTGTTGCTTTATGTCCGTTGTTGACATCGATTTTGTTTACCATTTCGTGTTGTATTTTTTTGGCCATTAGAAAATATTTGTGTAATTGCTGTTCTTAATTTTTAATTTTAATTTAATTTAATTAATATAAGTTGCCTCAGGTCCTTTTTAAGGAGAAAGGTGGAGTAAAATATTTAAGTGAAATTAATTAATAAGGAAATGTTATCCAACTGGGTGAAATTCATTATTTTTGCAACAAGTGCTAGTGAATCTTGTACAGAAGCAGTGGAATTTATAGCATTTGGATGGTTTGTACTACAAATCCCATAATTCTCCTTTGTAGAAGTTCCACTGCACAGACACTTAAGTGTGGCTCAGCTAGGAGAAAGGCCTAAGCTGGAAGCTAGGCCTAGCTCAGCCTAACTTCCTGTTCAGAAAGGAAGCTGCCAGCTAGCACTGGGAAGCTTCCATTCTGAACAGGACGTTTGGGTAGCACCTGGATTACCCAGGCAACAAATAAAACAAATAAATAAACATTGCCTTTCAACTTAGGCCTTTCTCCCATGTGCGCCACATTTAGGTGTCTGTAGGAGTTTGTTGGGTGGAACTCGCAGAGTGGGATTATGGGATTTGTAGTCCAAAAGATCTAAATAGGATTTGTAGTCCAAAAGATCTAAATGGCACATCCCTGGTGCCCAAAGTCCAGGCTAGGTTAGGACACCAGGAGGCCAGGAACCAAAGAAGCAAGAAGTGTTCTCAGATGTCATTGAGGGACCCTCCATAAATCAAGGCTTTATTGGGCCAACGGTGCCATTAGATATGCAGTCTGGAAGCAGTCTAAGTCATATGGGCTAGATCCTTTATCAGTCCAAGAAAGAGGAGAGGTAGGAGGAAAAGGCTAACTTTTTTGTTAAACAATTGTTTAATTGTGTTTCTTCCTTGGTGTCGGGTTCCTCCTCATGACTTGATTAGATTTCTTGTTCAACTGTTTCAGGTAAAAGGAAGGAGAGCCAGAAAGGAAAACAGGAGAGAATGAAAGAAACTAAAGAAGGATCAAAAGGGAACATGTATACTGCTTTTGAAGGAACTGATCGGCGTACATTTCCAGCACTTGAAGAAGACCCTGGGGAAGAATTGTTAATATGCTCGGAGTGCGGAAAGAGCTACACTCCCAAGATGTACCTTATTCATCAACGCGTTCACAACCAAAAGCATTTAGAGCGCGGAAAGCAGTGGGGGTACGGCTTAGATCTTAATGTGCCTCCAGTACGCTGCCCAGGAGAGAAGCCTTATACATGTTCAGAGTGCGGAAAAAACTTTTCTTCCAGCTCGAGCTTTAGAAGACATCAGATAAACCATGCAAAAGGAAAGCCCCATAAATGTTCTGACTGTGGGAAAGAATTTGTGTGCAAGTCGCATCTGAACTCCCACCAAAGAGTCCACACAGGGGAGAAGCCCTATGTATGTCTGGTGTGTGGGAAAAGCTTCCGTCAGAACACGTACCTTAAGTCTCATCAACGAAGTCACACCGGGGAGAAGCCCTATAAATGCCCAGTGTGTGGGAAATGCTTCAGTCAAAGCAAATACCTTAAGTCCCATGAAAGGATCCACACGGGGGAGAAGCCCTACGAATGCTTGGAGTGTGAGAAGCAATTCAGGTGCAAGACTGACCTGCGGCTGCACAGGAGAATCCATACCGGAGAGAAGCCCTACGAATGTCCGGTATGTGGAAAGAGCTTCAGTCGGAGTACGGTCCTTAAAATCCATCAGAGAATTCACACTGCAAAGAAAACCTATCTGTGCTTGATATGTCGAAGGCAGTTCAGTCAAGTCACGAGCCTTATTTTACATCAAAAGCAGCACACGGCGGAGAAGACCTACACATGTCCTGACTGTGGGAAAAACTTCGGCTGGAGTTCAAACCTGAA